CGTATTTCAGAAGGCTCTGTCAAATCATTTCCATCATCATCCCACGATGAATGAATTAATCTGCTTTGTCCGTTTTTTTTCTCAAGACCAAAAAAAAAACTGGTTGGTGCATCCATCTCATTCAAATTCTGAAAACGTGATCTCACTAATGATCCTTGTCCCCTAATTCCAAGCAGCTCTGTTAAAACATCTTTTTTTCTTTTTTATAGACTGCATAAGGCTTTGATCTTGAGTTGAATCACTTAAAATCTGGAGTTCTATTATATCAGATTCAACATCTTCAATTAATTTAACAATATTTTTAGAGGCATTAAGAGTGTACTGTTTACAAAATAGTTGAATATGAACTTTGCCCACATCCCACCATTGTTGAATTGATTCAAAATTCCTTACATTCATTTTCCATTGTTCCCAAAAAAACATAAAACCTTTTTTAAAATAATTATCATTTAACAAAGAAACATTAAAATGCCAGTATGCACTTCTTACTTTAAGGGAATTAATAAAAACCACTCCACATACCAATCCATGATCTGAAAAACTAACTGGAGTGATAGCACATGATTTAAAAATCTGTGAATGATGTTTATAACAATATATTCTATCAATCCTAGCCATAGAAATATAGTTTTCTCTATAATGGGCCCAAGAGTATTGTCTAAAATCTCCATGTTTTTCACGCCATACATCTGCTAATTCAAATGTTTCCACAATACTTGAAAGTTTATTTCTTGAAGCCATATTTGGTTCAACATGATTTCGGATATTCTATCAATCCTAGCCATAGAAATATAGTTTTCTCTATAATGGGCCCAAGAGTATTGTCTAAAATCTCCATGTTTTTCACGCCATACATCTGCTAACTCAAATGTTTCCACAATACTTGAAAGTTTATTTCTTGAAGCCATATGTGGTTCAACATGATTTCGGTCTAAATTATTGATTGTACAATTAAAATCTCCAGCTAAAAAAAGAAAATCTGAATCACATCCTACCAAAGTACTAGCCAATTTTTCTAAAAACAACATTCTTTCTTTTGCAAAAACAGGAGCATATACATTGATCAGAATTATTGTTTTTCTTTCATATTTTGCAGTAACTTTAATTAATCTTCCTGCAATAACTTCATCTACCTCATAAGATAAAGGTGCAAAGGACTTTGAAAAAAGAATGGCTACACCAGCACTAGTGGAGCTTTTATGACTCATTATAACAGTCCCATCCCATTCTCTTTGCCAATCAGTTTCATTTTCTATACATGAGTGGGTTTCTTGTACAAAGGATATATCGATATTTTTTGATTTAACTAATTCATAAAAAGAAGTTATTTTCTTTACATCACGTGCTCCATTTAAATTTAGTGAGGAAATCTTGAACTCAGCCATAATTAGAAATGTTATGACTACTAAGACAAACCTCACTCCATGACAAATCCATCCATTATTGTGATCCGTCCAATTCATCTTTTTTCATTTGTGTTTTTATCTTTTGTACTAATTTTTTAAGACGATATATTTCAGTCTCAGCAAGACCATCTCCTCCAACAATTTTCATCACCTCTCTTGCAGATTCAATACAATTAGCTAGATTTGGAAAAAAATCATCAACAACCACATTTCTTTTTCCTTTTATTACTTGTAAAAAACTGCGAAACTGATCCAAATCGTACTTCTCCTCCTTTCTTACATTTACCATTGCTTGGGTAGAGATTCCTTTTTCACTATCATCTTTACCTTGCCATAGAATATGGCCGTGCTCACTGATGTAATGTTACCTGTATTCATATTTAATCAAAAGTAAAAATTGCCATTTCAATTTGATTATATCCATTATACAAATACCATTAACATACGACTAATCAACAGCTAACGTACCTCAGCTTAAACATTGTTCAATCACTGTAACTGCGGGATGTAGGAAAATATGGTTACTTCCATAAAACAATTGTACATTAATATGCTGTTGAAACATGATCAACTAATATTCGGTTAGGAGAACAGTGCTGATTTCGCGATATTCAGTCACAACCACAAGCACCGTCGCGTGTGACTCTATTAGACAACTATTGTTTACATTCGTACACACTCACGGCAAGACAGAAACGAACAACAGTTTCCAGCTCAAGACAGCAGACCACATTAAATATCAAGATACAAATGCTCATGTAACTCAGCATCCTCTCAAATCTTCTATTGCAGCTGTACATATGCAATATTAATTAAATACATATTTTTCTTTCTACTCACGCGCAGTCAAATTCTGTAATTCGCGGGTTCTGAAGAATCACGGGAGCGCGCCATATGCGTCACACTCACGTCATTCAAGATGGCGGCGCTCGCGTTCTTGATGCTGCGATCCAGAGCCTGTAAGTAGAATGACCGTGTTTATGACTTTTTCGGATTGTATCATGTACAGTGCAAGTCAGGTATGAATAATAGTTGCTGATATAAAATAATTGAGATCTTTTAGCGTTTTGTAATGACTGTTAGTTGGTACTAGCGTGCTAAGCCACCATTCCCTGACAGCACAGTGAGCATGTGATAAATGTTGACTGCAGTATCAACAGCATTTCAACTGTGATAAGCTGATTTGGCTTACGTTTTGTAAATGGTAATGCAGGTCGTTAAGGATCATGCTAATTTAGTGCCTAGCAATCAGTTATATCAAACTGATGCCTATGACGTGAAGGAAAGTTTCAGCATCACCTACTTTGTTGCAGGCAATGATTTCAGTGTTCCTCTGGTCTTTGCAGGCATTCTGTTCAGTCAAACACCCACAGCATATTCGGTTAGGAGAACAGTGCTGATTTCGCGATATTCAGTCACAACCACAACAAGCACCGTCGCGTGTGACTCTATTAGACAACTATTGTTTACATTCGTACACGACGAGATTTGCTTCAAAGAAATCAGGAGGAAGCAGCAAAAACCTAGGAGGGAAGAGTGCTGGCCGTAGATATGGTTACAAAAAACAAGATGGTACTTTTTGGTTATTGGCCTTGATCTCATATGAGAAACATGTTGAGATTTTGTTTTTTCTGTAACTGTGGCTATCTTTTTTTATCCTCCATTCATTTACATTATCTTTCCTACTTTTAAGGGAACTTTGTACATGCAGGCAACATCCTTGCAACACAACGCAAGGGTCTAATGCGCTGGCAGCCTGGAGCTCATGTAAGATGTTTGGAATCAAATATTTTCCTATGAGTACCCGTATATAGCTATAGCTGTGCCTGGCTGGGGCAAGTTATCATGTGTTTTATGTTGTTATTGTACACCATTTATTCATTACAATTTCTGGTCACTAAAACCATGCTTTGATATTTTTGTGCAATATCAAATTTATATTTATGAATTACTTTATGCTTCAAAATTGTTTCATTTTTAAATGTTTGCTGAAATATCTAAATATGTAGTCCTTTCTGTTTTCACAAACATACAATGACAGAACAAAAGCACAGTATATAGCACAGTTTGTGACGGAAGTCTATGTATATATATATATATATATATA